CAACTAAATGGTGTCATCATTTTTAAAATTGAATGAATTGAAAATCGCAAATGAATTGCGGGTTAAAAATAGTATTTTTGTTCCTGATTGTATCAGAATTTATTATGAAACCGAAAGGCAAGTCTCTCCTATTACGGTCTATTGGGTTAGAATATTCGAATAAAAAAACCTTTAACAATAATTATTAATTATATGTGGAACACACTGGTAACAATTGAGCGTTACGCTAATAGTTGTAATGTATGCATCAAACTATGGCTGTTTGTGTATATATAAAAATTATGCTTTTATTTAACTGATAATTTAAGTTATACCACTTTCTGGGCATCTGTTTAGTCCCGAAATATGGACGGATGGATGGATGGACGCTTCAATATTATTCATACCTTAGAGTATTTATTACAGTAAATACTCTAAGTTTCATACCAAAACAAATTTAGTCGTTAACTGTGAAGTAATAGGTTTCGTGTTTTTTTTTTAATTATAAAAGCAACAGACATGCTTGTTCCATACCCTCCTTAATAATCCTTAAACGGTTATGCAAATCCCAGAAAGTCCTGTGACGTAAATTCAACATTGCAAATGTTCGTATCGCGTATTAAAATGATGACATCATTTCTTAATAAAATAAAAATCACGCAGATAATAATTTGCCTTTTAACCGATGTTCGATATGACTTGACGTCTGTAAATTAAATCTTTTATTGGCAAAGAAAGATAACTGACTGCAACAGCCAATATAATATATCTGCGTTTTCCGAACTGTGATTTATTACGAATCTTGTATTATTTTTAAAGGATATTTGTCCGCCATGATTTCTTGTCGATGTTCAAGAAGTATTCCATTCTTGCATACGTCCAAACCGCATACTGATGTGGTTATATGAAATGGTGCGGGGAGTTCGTTTTGACATTTGTCTTTTTTCACGAATCATTTTGACGGTTTCTATTAAATCACGATTCGATATAATATGTTTGTTTTCAAACAATCTACTAATAAATCTCCAATAACAGAAAAAGTAGCTAGCAATGTCGTGCTATAAGAGAAATTTTGTAATCATATAGTTAAAAAAATCGTGCAATAATAACTTGATGTCCACTATCATTTACGTTTCATTTTCAATAATCAATTCAATCAGCAGTGACAGTCATACAAAAGAATTAAAAGTATTGAGCTCGTTTTAAGAAATAGCACCACTACTGCATATTTCTTTCGAATTTTTTCCACCTGCTGAAGAGTAGTGACATGAAATAATCTATAAAAAAATCGCTTAATGAAAACCGATTAAAAAAACTGATGACAAAAATATAGTGGCATCGGTCACATGACAAAATAAGCTCCTCAAAAAATCTAATCCAGTAACAGAGTATGAAAGTGAGGTGCAAGTACTGAAAGCGCCAATTCACTTGTCTATAGCTAACCAAATATAAGAAATACCGTTTGACATTCCACATTAATCATTCCGCAATAACTTTGCACAAGTGTGTGATTTAAAATAACCTTTTAAGTAAATCCAAAGAATTATGAAGTTATCTATATTTCATTACGTGTATAGTTTTTTATCACTTATTCAAATTCGAATCTTTCAAAGTAAAATATAAAAAAAGTAAAGTATCAAATTTTTTACTTGACGTCGTTTCAATGATATGTCGCTATGTAGCTTACCGTAATGTTTGGATGATTAATATTCATTGTTATGCGAATAATCGGTAAAAATATTCAAAAAATGTTTAATTAAATTTTTATTTTTATAATTCTATCTATAATATTTTTATATTCATATTACATGAATCATGAATAAAACAAGTTTTTTTTTTTACTTTGTCAACGTAAATTTGTGTAGGCAAAAAACTCATGTAGGTACAAGAACCGCGCTGAAAAAACCTTGTGTTTGTCTTCCTATTTTGTGACTTGGCTTTAATTATTTGAACTGTTTCTTCTATATTCGTTGAAGAAAGTGCCCATGTCACAAAGGATGATTAGGCAAGAGGTAGAAAAACAAAAAAATTATTATGGATGACTTTGAAAGACATTAATTTTGACTGCATTATTGAAAATCTAATGATAATTAATCTAAACAACGACAGCTCAATTAGTTGTACTGAAAGTGATTGAATAAATTTATTTTTAATCTAGTTTCAATCTTAAATTTTTATAACTTTGCCTCTAGAAATAAGCTGCAACAACAAATACGAATAAACTGATAAATCTTGTGTTTTGAATTTTCCGTTTCTAATTTATTCTAATATTTTTCAAACCAAAATGTAAATGATTACTCTAAGTTATCAATATCGATTTTTTAAGAATCGAATATAGTATGTTCCCATTTTTTAGTTGGCATGCTTGGTGTAATAAGTCTGATAGCTGTCAAAATGTATTTCTTAGATTTGGTTGACTTTAACGATAATCTCAAATCCTTTAAGCTTGGGAAGGTCCTAAGCCCAGCAGTGGACCATTTACGAAATAATAATATAAAACCTAGTCTAGTCATATTGCTTATTATTTTCCTAAGCGAGTTAATCTTTAGTGTGCAGATTTGAAAACTTATTACTTTTTTGTCGGCAACACCATTTTATAGTGTACCATTGTTTAATGGCACTATTAAATGCAATAAATATATCACGTCCCGAATCAAAATCGATAAATATTCCTGTCCAATTCCACTTTAATATTAAAGGTATTTATTAAGAATTGTCTAGTGGAACAATAAGTCACAGCAAATGATAAAAACACCTTGATCTAAAGTAAAAATTGACAATTTGTTCTTTTTACAAAGTGCGAGTAGGTGTTTTTGATTTGATATCCCTTGACAGCTACACAGTAAGCTTTCCGTATGATAAAAAATATACAAACAGTGCGAAATTATACATAATATTTTAAATTAAGAGGTATTTACATATGATAGCCTCTAATAAACCATTTATATAAAATGTACACAGAATAAATAGAACGCTCTATCTAAAATTATTAATGAATATAATATGCTAACAATTTAATTTAAGTTTTAAATAAATACACTAAAGCTTATTCAACTTACAAGTCTAAATGAGTATAATTATTATGAAAATTATGCACTATGTAAATAAAAATAATCTTTATTTCCAGATCAACACATCGGATCGGATGTTCCAAGAGACGAATAATTTAAATAATTTATAGTAAAATTTCATTATACAAATCAAATTTGTGCCCATTAATTGAAAAATAAAACATGTTAAAAGATGCTGTGTAAATAACTACACATTAAATTACACAATATGTTGTTTAAATGGTAGTTAACTTTAATACGAATTTAAATGTAATTTCGCTTTAATATTTATAATTATCACCGCCCATATCAAGGGTTTTAAAATATTTTGATACATTCATCAACAGCGCGATTGTGTAACTTAGGTGAAAATCGTATGCCAGTGGGAAACACTCCGCAATTGCTTTATTTTTAAAGTTAAAAGTTAAAGTTACAGCCTATATATGTCCCACAGCTGGGCACAGGCTTCCTCCCAATTCTGAGAGGGTTGTAAAGAAATATCCGCCGCGCTGCCCCAATGCGTGTTGGCGTACTTCACATGTCATAGATTTTTCTTCTAATTTCTTATATATGTAAGTTTCCTCACTATTTTATCCTTCGTCGCCAAGCGCGTGCTTCGTTTTTATTACGATAATATTTTGTAACCTAAAATTAGATATAAATATTTAAAAAAAAGGCATTGGCTTGTAATCGATACTGATACGTTTACATAATACAACGAAACCGTGATAACGAAGTTACAAAATCGCACTGCAAATTAATAATTCATCTGTATAAAAAACACTAATTTTTTCATGGGAAGTCTTTTAAAAAATTACTGGATAGTTTTCAAACTGAAAAGTATGCAGTATGTAAGTATGTACTTCACAGGGGACGGACTTTCATAGACAAAAATATTACTATTTGAATTTTCAACTGTTTCTAAAAAATTACGTTCGAAAACTTGAGCGGTTGACTTTGTTAATTTTTTTATCATTATGAAGTACATAATGCTAGTGCATGTGTGTTATTGTTATTGGCAGTGCAATCCATAAACGTCACGTTTTTAAATTGTAAATGTGCTTTGAAATACCTATCACCATCTCTTTATTTTCAATTAAAGAAGATGTGATATTATTTTTATTTTCAATATCCCTCTACATACAAACGTTAACGATATGTTGCTTAGAGAGTTTATTTAGGGCATCACTTTTGCCTAACAATAAAAAAATCACAGTAAAAATATGTACACTTTTACTCCCTCTAGGGATATTAAAAAACTGTACTTTTGTTATGAGTATATATGAGCAAATTCGTTCCACTCATTTATAGTTCTTGTAAATGTAACATACTTCTACAACTGTCAGGCCCATCATGTTGGCAACTTAACATTGAAAATTAACAGACAAGAAGCTGGCAACCAAATATCTACTTTGTTGTTTTAACAATAGTGATTAATTTTGAACAGTTACACTAATTCCTTTATCATAGCTTCGTTGGTACAGAATGTTTTTAATATAAACTACGATTATGTCTCCAATACGAAACAACTTATATTACTAGAATATATTAATGCGTTATCAAGTCACTCCTATTCCCTTGTTTTACACCGTCCCACAGCGCCGTTTTACATACATAAAATGATCCAAAAGAACGTGTTCCTAATAATATAATTTAAGTGCAAAATCTATATTTTTGGTCATAAATATACTGATATCTAAACTCGTTACAAAGTACTACTACACGTCGCCGAACGTAGCGCTCGGTAGTTTAATGCGTGCAATGGTGCAATTCCATCACTTAGGCCGTATTAAGGCCGCCATACAAAAATCACATACTTGTCTTTTGAAAATCGCTCCTCTATCAAGCTTTTTCGTAGAATATAGCGACAATTACTTTGACAGTGCAAACTTATAACTCAATATTGCCCGAGATGTATCACAATCGATATTGGATCACTACATACAAGTCCATCCACAAGGCGTTACATCGTTACTGTAACATCAACGATTCGAGGTTACGGTTAAGGATCGTGTCCTTGACGGAGTTGAAAACAACTTCGATGTTGTGCGTGTCTATGGCGGTGGTGAAGTGGTGGTAGAGGGTTGTCTTTGGCTCCCGTCGGACGTTGGCGAACATGTTGAGTATGAACATCTGCACGTCCTGGAGGTTGTGAGGGTCGCCGGTGAACTGCGGGTAGTACCAGCGTATGTCGGTCTCCTTGCTGGCGACCTTCTTCGCCAGCAAGTCGGACTTGTTGAGGAACAGAATGATGGAGATGCCCTTGAAGTTGACGTTGTTGACTATCGTGTCGAATATGTTCAACGCTTCGGCGAGCCGGTTCGTTTTCCTGAAACGAGAGTTTACCCGTTAGCGAGTTGTTTAGTTTGGAACTGGTTTTAGCTTCGTGAGTCAGATTTATTAGTAAAAAGTCGATAATCAAACATGAACTTCCTCCGACATACTAAATATGCGTTCGAGTAATAAAAACAGTTCTAAAGAATTCAAGTTTAAACACGAAAACGGACACCAAGATGTATGACTCACAGATGACCCTAATGAATCTTGATAACACTAATCACATAATGTTTTTTATGTATACAAGGCAGAGTATAAGAAACCTCCCCCCACCCATTATATTAATTTGATGGATGCAAGGGCTCAGGACCGTGCTTGTGGCATTCCTTGGGGTAGGCCAATGTTCAGCAATGGACTTGGTTGAAATTATTGTGACGATGATGAAACGTGTTCTTTGTGTTTTGCAAACCATTGTCCACACAACCAAAATGATCCAATCTATATTTGGTAATTATAACTATTTTTATTTTTTATTATTTTTTTAAGGAGAAAGGTGACAAACGAGCACACAGTTCATCTGATGGTAAGCGGTTGCTGTGGCCCATAGACATCTACATCTATCCTCAATTACGAATCAAAATGCAAATGCGTTGTCACTCGTGAGGTCTAAGATGGAATGCCTCCTTTCCAGTAAAAAGACACACATTCACCACACGAAACACAGCATCGTCAAGCTGCTATTTTACCTGGTATTTTGTGAGAGCGTGGTCTCTCTCACCGGTCGAGCCGACCCATGCGTGCTACATCTATACTACTAATATAGTGGCCCTACCACGTATAAAATTTAATTTTCCCATTTAAAACAAACCCCGTCTGGTTATAAATTATGTAAATATTAAAAAGATCGACATAAAACATTTAACACACCATTATGTTTCTACAACCAAGCTATCTAAAGATATTTGTTTAAAAAATAAGTAGAAATAAGGACAAGCAAAGCTTTGTAACCTCGGATATCAGCGTGTCCTAGATAACTCGAACGTTAGCTGCTGCTTCCCAGCCTAAAATAGCCAGTCTGGATATTTTAATTTAGGCAATCTTTAATATTTTGTTTATTTTTATCGCATTTTCCATAGGTTTACGACAGGCGAGGGTAACAACAATCATTATAATATAGAAGTTAATGATACCTTAGGCTATTTATGGAAACATATTTTAATCAGGCTTCCTTTATGTGTTCAAACTAATTACATATTATATTAAATGTGTGTTCCTGTTTCATGTCAAAAATAGCGATAAAGAACGTAAAATTCATTTCAATATCTAAATCTGTCAATCTCTGTTTTTTAGTTATTTATCTGAAATGTCTACTGGATTCTACATTCCAAATACAGAAAACAGTATTAAAAAAAAATAGTATTGTATTTTTTTAATTTAGTGTATTGATGAAAACTTCGAGGCACTTTATAAAAATATATAATCATTATTATGTCTTTAATTGTATTAACGTCTTTTTGCCAAAATTCAAAAATTTCATGAATATAAAAGTTAAGTAAAGTTACAGCCTATATAGGTCCCACTGCTGGGCACAGGCCTCCCCCTCATTTCTGAGAGGGTTTTTCAGGGCATTTTCATGAATATGTATTATATGAAATAAATAACATAAACTGTTTTGAACAATATGTTAATTTAGATGGGGGCTGATGGCACGAAATACAGCAAAGATAGCTTGCACTTGACCGTTTTATTTTCTCTGTACCTAAGCAACGAATATTATTCGAATTAACAAAATATTCCAATCATTACGACGGTTTCCCGCATTATTCGGGAAGATTTCCGATTATCTGAAATATTTCAATTATAATATCTCTCATCTACAATTCAAATTTTACCTATTATAATAAAAATAAACTTTCGATTGAGGGGTACTTATGCATGACATGGAGAAGAGACGATCGGAACAAATTACAAATGTGGGCGCTCGTAATTACGGGATTCACGTTACGTGTGTGTGAGTGGCGACGTGGGTGTGTGAATTATGTGGTAATATGGATGTGAGACTTGCATGTGTTTGCGGCGGAAATACGAATACGTGAATCATCGATCTGATATCACTCGTGCAACAATACTTTATCACGGCGAACAATACTTAATCACGTCGACTGTTAGATATGCGCTAGATAAAGTGCGAGATAGCAAACCTGCAAGTAATTATGACAAATCTAAATTTCCCAACTTGATGCATTGAACGAAATAACAAGAGTGTAAGTTTTAATAAATGTATAGGTATACTTTATATATTATGTATATATAACAAAGCAATCACTATTACATACAAGATACACCTGATTGTCCATCCAAATAAGGCATGGTTTGCCACCGCCCGTAAAAGAAAATTTTAATAGGTATAAATTATGCAACATTCAGAAAAAAAGTTAAAAAGTAGTGTTTAAATAAATTAAAGTCTGTTTAGGCCGAAAGTCTGTATGTTTATTGTCAGATATATTAACATAATATAATATTAAATGGGGGTTACATCACTACACAATTAATTATACGTGCGACCAAGACTCAAAAGCTCAGAACAGCAGGGACTGGCCGAAAACCAGTGTTGAGCATAATGCAAAGCGAATACTGTGCCTGTTCCTGTTGGATCATATTATGCTCGTATTTAGTAATAGTAGTTAATTCGTTAATTGTACATGTTTATTTCTATTGATTTTTTTTTTTGATTGCGTAATAAATAATTTTTTAAATGTACAAATATTTAGTTAAGTTTTGAATTGTAAACTTACTATTTAATACATATTATTATTATTAAAGTGCATATTTCATCAATTAAATTGTTATTTAGGCATTTTAAAATTTACCACCACTTTCAAATAAAGCTGCTTCTACTATTTCTTAACAATAATATAATTTCTGATCAACTTCCAAACTCTCTCATAAGTGTAAAGCAAACCAGAGCACATAGCAGCTGTTCACAAGTATGACGTATGCGGCAACCATCGCCTCTACTTCCAACTTGTGTACCTACAGATAAACCTTGTTAGGTTGTTTTGCGATTCCGTGTTTAATTAATTTAAGCTTTGTACTTGATTTATTTTAATAAATAACAAAAATTTAAGTAAGTAATTTTTTGAAGTCAGTTAAATATGTAAATTATAGACTTTATACGTCCCACCACTGGGCACAGGCCTCTTTTTTTCTGAGAAATAAAATATTTCGTGAACAATGTACAAAAACAATGTGAGGAACTGAACACTCAGAATCATTTGAACACTAAAATGAAAATATCAGATCGTACGATCACATTTTAAACCTGTTCATAAAGCAAAGCCACGCAAAGTAAATTATTAATGAATATTACTATAGTAAATCAACTGCAAAACTGATTACTATCCTGTGATAACTGTTATAATTTTTCAAATACATAAAATGGTAATATTTCTCAATAAGTCATGTGTTGGGGACGCGGCCCTATTACTATACCTCCACTGTCCATCCCAAATAGGTAGATAATTGAAATTTTCACAGAATGAATATTTCTGTTGCCGCTATAACAACAAAATAATAAAAATAAATTAAAAATTAAAGGCCTACCCATCGATATGTACTGCCCTACTAGAAACGTATTTTCGGTACGGAATACTTACACTTAGCCTATATTTTTTCTTTTTTAGTACTGTTCTCTGTACCGACTTTAGGGATAAACAATTAGATAATATATATACAATCACAAATTTTTTGTGTGCTGCCACAATACAGTTTAAAAATCTACAACTTACGAAGTATTCAATTAAAATCGCGCAGACTGAGAGAAAGATAGAGGAATCTCAATCTTACTCAATCTAAATGCATGCATACGTTTCGCGCTGTTTCGACAATCAGTCACAATCGTTACGTTGAGATGGGGGCTTTTTCGCGCTTTTAAGCTCTCCTATTCTCGTCAATCATCATCCAAAAATAATTAATAAAAACTATCAGTATCATATGTAACCGTGCCATTCTACATTTTATTGTAAAAGGTGAGAAACTACTAGTTTTTACGTGCTACAGCCACGCTGCAGCTATATTATAGTTGTAGCACGAATGGGTCGGCTCGACCGGGGAGGGACCACGCTCTCACTGAATACCAGCGTAAAATAATAGCGTAATGCTGCTGTATTTCGTATAGTGAATGTAGAGAACCGGTGACCCTTTTTACTGGAATCGAGGCATTCCATCTTAGTCCTCAGTAGTGACTACGCATTTGTATTTTGATTTTTAATTGAGGATAAATGTAGATGTCTATGGGTCACTGTAATCACTTACCATCGGGTGGACTGTGTGCTTTATTGTCACCCAATGCTACAAAAAATAGTAAATAGTAATAAATATTACTCAATGCATCATAAAAATGTTGCTTGAACACATTTACACGTTTTTCCGTGTAACAAAAATATCCTATTGACAACCAAAAAAAAAACCTTGAAAAATCCGAAAACAATTCAAACTTTAGATATTTTTAAGTTTTAACCATTAAATCACGGAACCGTTTCTTTATAAAGCGTGTGTAAGACAAAAGTACGGATCATTTGGAGGTCGGTGAAGCAAAGAAAATCTCATAATAATTCAGAGTTCCACAATTGGTAAAGTAAGTTACAACAAATTAACTAAATATCCTCATATAAATACATACTATCTGTTTCATCTACATACTTTACGACGATGATGTAACAGACGATCGCCTCGTGGCCAGCGTACTGGACCACTTCGCCGCGGATGCTGAGCTGAAGCCAACATTTGTGCAAATACACGAATCTTTGGTTTCAAATCTGGGTAGCGGGAGTTACCTACTTACCGCGAAATAGTAAGTAAGTAGTATAGAGAGTAAGTAAGTAAGTAGTATAGAGATTTAATAAGTCAACTGCAATCTGTCAATGCCGGTGTAAAAATATTCACATTCAAAAAGTTTTAACTTTACAAGTAATTATTTACAAATTTGTCAGAAATAATAATAAATAATTAAAACCTTTGACTCAAATAATTCTTTAAAACTTATCAAGACATATTTGTAAAACATAACTGTCGTAGAAAATAACAGACATTTTCGAAAAGTTTTACAGTTTTGTAGTTTTACAATACAATTCCACAATTATTTTTATTTTAAATTTGTCGAATTTTATTAATTAGATTGGACGCTAAACAAAAATATAAATGAACTTTATAATGGACACGATATCAATACATAATTACGTTTAACCGGTTTTGACGCTCGGTTTAACTTAATTTTGTTTATAGAATAAGAATGACAAACGAGCACACAGTCTACCTAGATGGGTAAGTGGATGCTGTGGCCAATAGACATCTACATTTATCGTCGATTAAGAATCAAAACGCAGATGCGTTGTCAGTTGTCACCCCAGAGGACTAAGATGGAATGCCTCGTTTCCAGTAAAAAAAGGATCAAAGGAAAGGATCTCCGGATCTTTACACTCACCATACGAAACACAGCAGTATTCAGCGGTTATTTTACGCTGGTATTCTGTGAGAACGTGGTCCTTCCCCGGTCGAGCCGACACATTCGTGCTACAACCATAATATAGCTGCAGCGTAAAATGAAAAGTTTATTTCGAAAAAAAAATTCAGCTTGGAGTATTTTTATAAAAAAAAAACTAAAGTGCAAGAGTCAACTTCAAACAAAGAAGACAATAACTGAATTAACACGGGATGCCTTACAGCCTGTATTTACACTGGCTCTCTATACTCCTGACAGAAACACAGCAGTGCACTGCTAGGCTCAGAAGGGCTAGAACCCAGAGCCATAAAGCCAGTTAATAAAAAAGTGCACTGCTACTTGCAGGAAGAATAAGGAGGATAGTATACAAAGACGGGCTCCTACGCAGGAAGGGAGTCCTGCCACCTTATAAGTTAACGGGAGTACCAGTAGTACTAATTTAAATTATAGTAAAGTTAATCGTGACATATGCCAAAGCAAAGTCATAAACAGATCTACCCGCATGATCGGTTAAAGTGGGAACCAAGCCATTCAGCGTGGTGGACGTTAAAATCACCAAGCATCACGATCTCTGCGGATGGGACCTGTTGTCGGAGTCTGCAGCCATTTGGACGTGGACGATGAGTCGGTCTGTGTCGCCATTACCGCTATGGGACCTATAGTGGCACTCGTAGACGCGGGGATGGTCGTCACTGTCTACGTGCAACCATAAGATGGACAGGTCCGTACCTTCAAGGCTGCCGAGGCGACGAAAACAGATGTCCTCTCTGACGTACACGCTAACTCCAGCCCGGGGCGCAAAGGAGTGTTCTAATTTGTACCCCGGGTAGGAGAGATACGAAGTATCAGTAGGTAGTAATAATTTACGTTACTATTAGATATTTAAAAAAACTTATTTAGAAAGTACTTATAACGCAAATCACAACCTGTATGAAAATATATGTTTGATAGAGTGATTTTTATCGTCTACCACCTTTTACGACGGCATTAACTTATTCGAATAGTGACCCAATAAAATCATATTTACGTCTGTGGTTTAGTTTTATAACGGACTCCAGTGTGCGTGTGTAAACTGAATGTAGACCGAGAGATAATTTTTACGACTTTTTTTTATTATGGTTACACCTTTATGTTTCCGTATTTAAACATCTGAAGATCATTCTAGTATCATAGTTTACACTTCTCGTTTCAAACATTGATGATAAATATTGTAGTTACTTGATAACCATCAAAAGTTATAATAAATATCCGTTATTAATTAGTTTTAGGCAAAATCCCCAAAATGACTTACAAAAATATTATCTCATAACTTTTTTTTATAAAAGCGATTTCTTCAAGACAACCTTTTTTACGTACAGAACTAGCGAAGATGGAGGCGTACATAAATTTTACAACTAAAATATTTACTATATTACTATCCTAAATTATTTGTAAACGATAGAGACGACCTTACATATGAGACGATTTTTTACAGTTTTTGGATCGAGGAAACCATCTGGGTTTACAGTATTACTTCGTGACAGTTTATGGGAAATTCTCAGTTCAATGTGATTTGCGTCCAGTAGGAGGACATATTTAGGCTATAATTTTAGCATTACTGCAGGAAACTATAATATGTGCATCTTCTTTGTACTGATACCTATGTTGTATTAGACACTAAATTAACTAAACTATATTTGATCAAGGTTAAGCCGTAAATTTTTCCTATTGCTTGTAACTTTAAAGGGTAAAATAATTAACTTACTAAAATTAAAAAAAGATGAAATGACACCATTCGCATGCCACTATCATCAGTCTGTAGATTCTACTGCAGTGCAGAAACCTTTCCAAGGTTTGCTACTTGGCCCGATCGACGGCATCATGCAACCATTTACTGGCAACCTTGTGACTGTGCTACAACCCCGGGACGTTCCACATTAAGATTGCCTAAACTCGTAACACTATTCTCACCTGTCTTCTGACAGCACCTGATCGAATTCCGACGATGACACGAGGAACAGTATGGACGTGACTGAGTCGAAACACTGCGTCCATTTCTGCCTCTGCGTCCGCTGACCGCCGACGTCGACGAACACGAAGGGCACGTTGTTTATGTTTATCGTGCATTCCGTGATGCCTTTGGTCGCCTTCCGACAGTGAAGGATGTCTTGGTGGGAGGGTACGTAGTCGGGCCTCGCTATGCGCTCCAATTCACCGAAGAAATAGCTCACTGAGTCACTCTGAAAAAGAAATTATCAAATTCAAGAGAGTTACTTTTTATACAAATCGAGTGAAAATAATCGTGTTATACTAGATTCCGCCTTGAGATACCCCTTGGAAACAGAAACACATCTCCATAAACGTTCCAATATTATGTGCGAGTGCGATTTTCACAAACTTTTACATAGTTTGAGTATGTACGAGAGACGGCGGAATGATCGGTCGTTTCAGCATTTTGTATCCACATCAGTAGTGGTTGGGCTCGATAGGTAGAACCTATGCTTGTGCGAAATCTAAATTATCATTATTATTATCATCATCATCATCATCATCATCATCATCATCATCATCATCATCATCCATTGCAGTCCAACACAAGTCCACAGTCGAACACAGTTATATTCCATGGATCCATGGAACGCCACAAAGCACAGCACAGTTCTGACTTCTGATTCATCTACCTATATCCATCAACTTCATGCATGTCTTACCAGGTCGTGACTCCAATTGGAGTGGGGACGCCCTACTCTTTTTTACTGGTACGAGGCTTTCTTCGACATCGGTTGTCAGTTCCTCGGTATGTATGTGGCCGCCAAGTTATCTCAACATTATATAAGTATTAAACAATGTAAAGTTATGTTTCGTATAGTAAATCGTAGAGCAAGTTACATACGAGTCACAAGATAAAAATAATTAGAATCTCACAACTATCACAATTCTTATTTTGGTATTCCCATGCTTTCGAGAATTTCCGAGATTCTATTTAAAAAAAAACAGAAGCTTATCTTACACATGCATACAAAAGCTATTTATTTTACGACCTCTAATATTCAGCTCTTTATTTAGCAAAACAATGACAGTAACAAATGTAAAAACGACTTATACTTATTCCAATTATATAATTCAAGATAATTACATGTTCAGAATCAACAATATACCAAAGATTTTTTTTTATAAATTCTTAGTGTGCTACATGCAAAAAAGTTAGCAAAGGGCGGATTTAACCTTTAAACATTCTCGCCCAATCAACAAAGATAAACTAATCATCTTGTACGTTTTCATAAATTTAATACCAAAGACAAATACATAAAGATATCCTTATTTTATCTCACGGAGACCCTGTGAAATCATAATGGTACATCCATAATATTTTGGTAAGTTTTGTTTATATATATATAGGCATTTTTTCATATATTTACAGTAACAATAATGTGCATGTGTATAAAACACTAACTCTACTTGTTAATGTTGAGTAAAGTCATTTCAAAGAAATGTATCAGTACCTCTAAAATATCAGATTAAAGCTGTATACACATATAACAGAATTGAATCAATAATTGACTATCGGGAAAAGTTCTCTAAGTGCAATTCAACCTCCAACATAGCATAGCAACCTTCGTTCAACTAATTAAATGTTGAATATACAATGAATGTTGAATTCGATACTTAGCACTTAAATCGTCACCTAGGAGAGCCCCCATCTTGACTTTGAACTCCAGTCCAGTGTCAGTGGTAGTAAAAATAACATCAATAGTAAAAATAACATCAGTCCAACAACTTTGAATAAAACTATTGTTTACGGATTTTATCGCGTTTAATTACTAATAATAACTTTTTTTTTATTATCCCGACGTTTCGGGTGCTTTACAGCACCCATGGTATGGATATTAGATTTGATAACCCACAAATTCTCGCAAAAGAACACCGATTCCTACCAAGGATGATACGCGAGACTATTGAAATTAAAATACATCCAAACTTCAATAGAAAAGATGCCATCTGCTTGGGATCCTATAATTAACAAAATTAAACCCAAACCCAAGCATACCACAGCAAAACTTCATGATACTATAAGCTCGTTTTGCATAAATCGGACCAAAAATTAATATCCAAAAACTGAAGGTAGCCGGACTAACTATGACATTGGGAGGTTGTCACTCCATCTAGTGGGGGGTCGCCCTACACTTCGCCTACCGGTACGAGGCTGCCACTCGAGAACCCTTCTTCCCCAACGGTTGTCGGTTCTTCGAGCTATATGGCCGGCCGCTTAATAATCCGTTGGGCTATGTCGGTCACTCTGGTTCTACTGCGGACATCCTCATTTCTAAGTTTATCACGCAGAGAAACTCCGAGCATAGCCCTCTCCATAGCTCGCTGAGCGACTTTGAGCGTCCTCATACGGCCAGCAGTGAAGGACAACGTCTCGGTTCCGTAAGTCATCACTGGCAACACGCACTGGTTGTACAACTTAGTTTTCAGGTTTTGAGGTATACCTGACGAGAAGATATGTCGTAATTTCCCGAACGCGGCCCAGCCGATTTGAATCCGTCGATTGACCTCTCGGTCGAAGTTGGACTTACCTAGTCGGACTATTTGTCCCAGGTAAACGTACTCGTCAACAACTTCGAGCTTAGTGCTCCCAACTACTACCGGCATAGGTGTGACATGGACATCAAACATGATCTTTGTTTTGTCCATGTTCATCTTAAGATCTATCCGTTGGGAGGCACTATTTAGGTCATTGGGCATAGTGCTAAGTCCTCCAGCGATTCTGCCATAAGGACTATATCGTCGGCAAATCGAAGGTGAGTAATGTACTCGCCATTGATGTTAATACCATATCCTTTCCAGTCCAGTAGCATGAAAACGTCTTCCAATGCACAGGTGAAGAGTTTCGGGGATATAACATCACCCTGTCTTACACCTCTCTGCAGTTGGATAGGTTTCGTACTCTGGTTCTGTACTCGGATAGCCATCGTAGCCCTACTGTACAAACACTTCAGCGCTTCGATATAACGACCGTCAACTTGGCACCGCTGAAGAGACTGTAGCACCGCCCAAATTTTGACGGAATCAAAGGCTTTCTCATAGTCCACATACGCCAGGCAAAGTGGCAGATTGTACTCTTCGGACTTCTGTACAATTTGCCGAAGGGTATGTATGTGGTCTATGGTACTAAAGCCTTTTCGGAAACCGGCTTATTCGGGAAGCTGGAAGTCGTCGAGTCTGCGTGCGAGACGATTCGTAATGACTCTCGAAAACAGCACGTAGACGCGGCTCAGAAGGGATATCGGTCTGTAGTTCTTCAAGAGTGCGTTGTCACCTTTCTTGAAGAACAAAACCACCGCACTTCTGCTCCACGTCTCCGGAGTAGTGCCACCATGGAGGACGGAATTAAAGAGCCTCTGAAGGACTTCAAGTACCGGTTTTCCAACCGCTTTCAGAAGCTCCGCTGTAATTCCATCCTCGCCCGGGGACTTGCCGTTTTTAAGGTGCTGGAGAGCCATTCTAATCTCGCTCAGACTGACGTCCGGGATATCATCGGAATAGTGTCGGATAAGACTTACTCTTGGATCGTTACTCACACTTGCGTGTGGCTCCAACGATGATGTGTACAGCTGCCCATGGAACCTCTCAATCTCACTCAGAATCTCAGGTGTCCCGCAAACGATGCTGCCACACTCAGTCTTCAGCTTTGACAGTTGGCTATTACTGGCAGACATCTCTGGCAAAGACTTTGGAGCCCTGGTTCCGCTCGATCGCTTCTTCAATACGAGCAGTATTAAAGTTGCGCAAGTCTCGCCGCATGCATTTGGAGATCTGTCTGTTCAGTTGCCTGTATGCTGTCAAATCTGTTGACGATTGCAACTTCATCTCCCGTCTAACAGCCATGAGATTAAGAGTGTGATCGGAGAGTTTTTGTGTTCTTCTGCGGCGGGTCTTGCAGAACTTAGCTCCGACCGGATGGATAGTTTCCACGAGCTTGTCATTCATATCGTCCACTGCATTGCAATCTTCTAGGCACTAGAACTAGGCACACACGAGATGTCTCCTCACAAGCCTGTAATTATACTGCAGTTGTATATTTTTGACCGGACAACAGCGGCGCAGGAACTGCTTTTTGGCGGCAAAAATAGGTAAGCGGGTACCCACACAGTCGGTCTTATAGGAAGTCCTACCTTCTAGAAAATATTTTTTATAGAATATGAGTGACAAACATACACATGCACACGCTGAAGGCCGCGGATTTGAATCTCGCACGGAACAAGTATTTGTATGGCCTACAAGTTATTGTTCCGGGTCTGAATGTTTTTCCTTGTGCAATTTATGTATGTAAACTGCCTCCACGATACAGGAGAAAATCCTAGTGTGGGGGTAACGTTTTTTTTTTCAAAAGATCAAAATGCATTTATTATGAGTTATGACTTATGACCCTGAGGACTAAGATGAAATGCCTCGTTCCAGTTATCTATAATCATCATATGAAACAGCAGCATTAATCTTTTTCACGGTGTTATTCTACGAGACCGTGACCTTTTCTTAGTCGAACCGATCGTGCTAATTCGTGCTACTACCATAATCTAGCTACAGCACGGCTCTACCGCGTAAGTAACAAAAATACTAAGAAATAAAAGATATATTTGTAGTTTCTCAAATAAAATACTACTTAGACAGCCAAAAATTGGCCTCTAAAAAGCTTGGCGTGCTCAGCAGAGCGGGACAGTATTTCATGCCGGCACACCGCCTGTAACCACATTTACAAGGCGCAGGTTCGGCCGCACATGGAATACTGTTCCCATCTCTGGGCTGGGGCTCCCCAGTACCAGCTCCTTCCACTTGACCGCATCCAGCGCAGAGCGGCTCGAATCGTCGACGACCGAATGCTTTCCGATCGGCTCGATTCACTGGCATTGCGAAGAGATATTGCATCTCTTTGCATTTTCTTTCGCATATACCATGGAGAGTGCTCTGAGGAATTGTTCGGATTAATCCCAGGCGCCAAATTTCGTGAACGCACTACGCGGCAAACGTCCCGATACCATCCACACCATCTGGATGCTTGGCGGTCCACCACTGTACGTTTCAAAAGGAGTTTTCTTTCGCGTACAACCTTCTCGTGGAATAGTTTACCACCGGCGATTTTTCCGGACCGATACGACCTGGGGACCTTCAAGAAAAGAGCTTACTCCTTTCTAAAGGGCCGGCAACGCACCTGCAATTCCCCTGGTGTTGCGGTTGATCATGGGCGGCGGTAATCACTTAACATCAGGTGAGCCGCTCGTTTGCGTTTGTTTGCTCTTTTATAAAAAAAAATTGAAACTTACACGAAATAAACACAAGTACCTATTAATAATAATATTGGGCGAATGAAAGCTGTAAATAAAGCATTCATTAAACAATGCTAACACGATCCGGAAGTGCCCGGCGCCGATTTCACTTAGTGTGTAGGATGTGCTGGGCACAGTACATTTGTGGATAGTCTTAATTAAAAAAGTTTAATACATGGCAATGCAAATTTAAGTCCGCTACTGGTTTTATGTGCTCTAGAAACGATAAAATTAACGGTTATAAATTTATGGATATGTAATATGCATAAATACATAACCGTTATTTTTTGAATACATATTAGTTGATAAGACACATTTTATATCTTCAGAAATACCAGAAAAATATTGTTTTCTTTAACAGGATGAAATTAAAACGCACAAACAGTGCTGCCATATATATAGATTTCTCCGTATTTATACAGATTTTCGATGTGTAATACAAATTAGCACTGGGTACAGATTTTATAAAAAAAATTCTAACACTATTCATTGAATTACCACAATATTCAACTTAAAACAGAACGAATCAAAATATATGACTAGATACCGCGTTACACACATCATTGCATGATTTTTTATGATATATGATGATATTTTTAATGGTAAATTTTTCTTCACAGCGTAATTAGTTAGTATGGCAGCATAACAAGTATATTATAACATATGTACTTATATTTAAACATGTATGACTGAAAATAACAAAGTAATTTTATTAGTTCGTTTGTTGTAAATGTTTGAATTTTATTATATTGTTTATGTTAATTAATATTTTCAATTCTGCTATATAAAATTTTAACGTATATTTTTATTTAATAACGATATTCAAACCTTATCTACTATCACGTTAGTAGTTATTCCTTGTTTTTCAATAGAAGCAATGATGATCAATAATTCTATTTTGGTTTATTTGATTATACAGATTCTAGGTTTAAATAGCATACAGATTTCAGCAGTTTCAAGTTCAAGTTTCAACTACAGATAAAAGATTCAAGGCATCTGGCAACACTGGTTCGCGCTCCTGCGCGCTACACGACACACGTTTTATACTTCTTTACAATCTCAAAAATCTCGCGAGATCTCGTCTGATTTCGAGCCGAGATCAATCTCGTCATATGTTGTTAATATTTTTAAAACCCATAGGCTCTAAACCGTTTTAGAACCCACGCCAAAATTAGCAAAAAATATCATTATCTCGGTATCTGTAGGTCTGTCCGTTATAGAACGTTTGACTTAGAGACTATTTTTAATGTTTCTTTTAATATAATAATGTTGTTTTTTTTATTCGAATTCGATATAGTTTAACTACCGCAATTACCAAAATACTAAAAAAGGCTTTCGGTGGTAGTCATTAATGTTTTTATTTATTTATACTATAGTGAAGAATCAGGTCAACAAAAGACCTTCACTGCAACTAACTTGTGACTAAGGACTGCGGGGTACCGTATACCTACAAACATCAATATTGACTAAATTTTTGTTTAAAAATTTTATCAATAACTGTGCGATTATTTATTTTATTTACTTCACTTAATTGATAGAATAGATTAAAAATTGTCATTAAACAAGTTTAAATGTTAAAATTTAAAGAAAAATTGTACAAAAAGGGTTATTATAATATAAATGAATAGGTACATAAATGAAAATAACCCCTGGGAATGAGGTGACCACTACCATGCTGGTTTTATAAATATTCATACAAAAATTGTACTAAATAAATTCATTGTATATTGAAATATGTTTAAAAAAAAGTCCCGCTGGGTTTCTTGCTGGTTCCTTCCAGGACTGAGATTTTATTGCGAACCAGTGGTAAATAAAAAATTACGTTCAATAAGTATTATACAATAATCAATATTGAATAAAAATCATTCATTTCATTTCAGGGGTTACTACGGACACAGTCCACCTGATGGTAAGTGGTTGCTATGACCCACAAACACCTTGATAGAAAGTCGCGTTACCAGGAATATGATTCTCCGGTGCTCTACACTGACCATATTACGAAACACAGCACCAATAAGCTGCGTTTTGTTTTCCGAAAGTGTGGTGTGGTACTGGTTTAGCCGACCCATTCGTTTTGTAGTCATGATATAGCTGCAGCAGCTTGGCCCTACCACGTTAATATGTAAACAATTTCGAATAGTTATAGAATCCTTTATTTATTCAAACAAAAAGTCAATATTGAAATCATCAACGAATCAATCAACGTCCCATCACGACATGCCTCGGCTTAATCAAAGAAGCAAAGCAAATATGGATCAAACGACCTAAATTGTCAACTGCGAGCCGTTGTTTACGTGCGTCAAATGTACATAGTAGGTACCTAGGAATACATACATACATAAATCGTTCGCTTTGTCACGAGGAGTCAGGTACTAGGTACAACAATGGACTAAATAAACAAATCGAGTGCGATGCAAATCAATATTTTGAATGGAACGTTCGCAGAAAATTATAATTAGGTTTGCTTCCGATGGAGGGATTTTTTGTAACGCTTTTAGTACGTAGTATACCATTATTTATTCTGTGCTATTAGGTAAATATAATTATTAATTACTATTGGATAGTATTTTTTAACCGATTTCAAAAAATTATGCGACTATATTTTTTTCTGTTGGTGACGGATGCTGTAAAGTGCTCGAAACGTCGGGAATATAAAATAAGTTAATATTCGCAATAAAATTCGTACAAACTAGTTGTATTTAAATGTGTAGTGTTCGCGAAAACATAAGGAATCATAATTCATTATATATATACCTGTTTTTGTTTGTATTTTCCCGTTGTGAACCTTTTTTATTAATTCTTATTTTATTATACGGTCTACATGAATTAAATTTGACGAATAAACTCCTATTGATTTCTTATATTTACGCGAACACTACACATTAATAATTAAAACTTTTTTACTGATTTTTCGCGTTTAATTAAAATGATTTTTAATTCCCGACGTTTCGGGAGCTTTTCAGTACCCGTGGTCACGGGGTCTGAGGTGACTGACGTCCCGATATCAATGTTAACCCGGAGTACCTTCAGCTTTTTAATTATTATTTATGGTCCGATCTACGCAGAATGAACTCACTGTGTCTTAAAGTCTTGCAGTGGTATGCTTGGGTTTAGTTTTAATTTTATTGTTTACAGGGTCCTAAGCAGGTACTACCCAGCCTCCTTCTCTATTCAAATTAGGATGTTTTTTTTTTAATTTCACGTTACATTCTTGGAAGAATTCGATGTTCTTTCGCGAGGATTTGTGGTCTATCAAATCTGATGTAATGTTTGGGGCCGCCTAGGATATGACCACAAACTGCAGACTTCCCAGTCAACGTTCTGGAAAGAACATCGATTCATGACTAGTGTCCCGACCCGGCTTCGCCTGGATGTGATCTATTAATGTGTCGTCATTTAGATCTTAAATAATCATAAATAATAATCAATTCATCAATTTTTCGAAAAATCTTTAAGGTTTTCGCATAAAATATAGCTTCTATCTAAAGTTTCTTCACAATAAATTCAGCCATTCCGAATAATAGCCTGGACAGGCAGACAAAAATTTTAAAAATTGCTACTCATTTTATGTAACAAATAATCCCCTCAGCCCAATAAAAGAAATTATTTCGATATTACAGACAGACGCTTCAATTTTATTATATACTTATACTATATTTGTGTAGACAAAGGAGAAGGCTAAATGTTGTGAGATAAATCAATGACACAATATAAAATAAAAATAGATTAAACAAAAGCAGAATGCAGTAGCAGTACAGATCGCAACGTTTTATTACGAATCTGAAAGCACAACAAAACACACATTTAAGGCAATAAAGGCATGACAGGTTGGCATGAGGTCACACACTCACACACACACAATAAGTGCTAAACACACACACACATACAAAATGAAACAGCGCGTTAAAGTGATGTATTTCTAGTACGTCGACACGAATCGTAAGGCACGATTCACACCTGCGCCTCGGCTGTGATTTATATTCCCGCTGAAAACGTTTCATAAAGTAACACGAGTAAAGTATTTCATAAAACTTAAATTACAAGTATAATGATATCAACCAAATTTAGGGTGCCGACACAGAATAATACCAGAAGAAAGCCTTATTTCAATTTTTCCAGCTGTGGAAAAAATCTGGGGGTATTGTTTAAAAGTAATATGGACAATAATTTATATAGCTGTGATGTATCATTTTGAAGCATGATACGAGATGCGTTTTATATGCATTTTTAAATGTAATACTACGTGGACCATACAAAGGTTATGGTGAATAAATTCATCACAGACACAGGAAAGGGGCGAACAACAATTTATTTAAAAATTACACGAAAGCAAGAAAAAATTTATTATTCCCCGATTACTAGCTTATTTTTCATCAGAAAATTAATCGTATTTGTAGTTTTCCATTAAATCTATTTTTAATTTTCGCCCCTTTGCGAAAAGGGGTTTTCAGCGACAAATTATAAGTAATGATTATATACATAAAACCAATAAATTCGAAGACAACTATAGCAACAGTTATAACATTAAAAAATCTTATAATTTTTTATGCGAAACTTAAGATAATAAATGTTATAATTAGGGCAAAACTGTTAAGCGATAGGTGAGCCGTGATAAAATAATACACACATATTGCTACGGTTGTGACGAAAACAAATAAACCTCAACTTTAGGTAAACTTACATTTTTGAATTCTAAACCGAGTTTGATTCAGAAAACAAACTCCTGCGTTAATTCTTGGTTTTCCTTTGGAACTGATAAAAAACGATTTAAAATTTTCAATAATAATCGCACCGACTAAACCCGTCAAATGTGCATCGTACACATGGTGAAAACAATCGTAACTGGACATCGTTATATCGTAGCTCTAGCGAGTTCCTTTACCCCTCTCTCTACCAAATATGGAGTAGGAGACTACGACATTGCACCTGCTATCCTTATGAATCTATAAAAGACATGGTCTGAACAGCTTTAAAATCGTATTTGGATGTATTATTTAATCATACCTTGTATGGCCGGAAGGTTGCTAGCGCGTTGATCCCGAATTTATTATATTGTTTCAACTACGCAAATCCATATGACATTGAATATAAACAACCATTGAAATGAATTTATGATTACGTCAGCGATATTATTTAATAATGTCGTTATAACATTGATGATAAACCTCTGTCTGATGTCCAACGTATCCAATTTAAAGATTAACAACTAAACAGTTAACTTTCAGACATATAATTTTCATTATGTATTTGTGTCTATGAATCTGCACTGAACTCCTCCTAGTCCTATCGCATAGGCGTTGCGTAATCAACGGGTAGGCTAGAACATGCAATACATTCATATTTGCGCGAAATTTCGTAGTTCTTATTAACCACCATTATTAGGAAGCTTAGAAACTATTATCATAAAAAAGTCAAAGTTACAGCTTATATACGTCTCACTGCTAGGGATAGGTTTCTCTCATTTCTGAGAGGGTTTCAGGGTAAGGAAGTGTCCACCCCACCGCGCTGTCCCAACGCGTGTTGGCAAACTTCACATGTCTTCAATTTTTTTTTCTAATTTCTCAGACATGCAAGTTTTCCTTTCACGATGTTTTCCTTCACCGCCGAGCACGTGGTAAATCAGCACTTATAATTTCAATTAACAATTTCATTGGTGCCGGCGGGAATCGGAGTCGAGTTGCTCGCGTACTGTGAAACCTAAAGCAAGCCCTAACCATCTGAGCTACCACAGTTCTATTATTATCATAGTGCCAAAAAACTTTAGTACCGAGGGAACAACTCCTCTTCACTTTTCCAGATCTGATGCAGCGTCATGCGAATTGTTGGATTTGATATAAGAGATAGGAAGAGATATGATATGTATACGGAAATAATTTAATAAGTAGCACCAATATCTTCCTAATCAGCCTATAACAGTTCACTGCTGGGTTTAGACCTCCCTGCTGTCGATTTCGGTATTATTGATCTGCCGCGTACGAGGTGGTTATACCATAACAGCATTTATAGCATTTCCCAGAGTCCCCTTAAGAACGGACGAAACGGGGCGATGGGTATTCTTCCACCGCTATCACAATATTAAGCACTTATATAGCTAATAAACGTGGTAGAGCCATGCTACAGCTATATTAGTAGTATAGTTATAGCACGAATGTGTCGGCTCTACAGGGAAAGGACCACGCTCTCACACGACTTTTTCTGCCACTAGGGCGGTCACTTAAAATGAGGTGTATTATTTGACAGATTTCATAGTGGGGAAGTTAATTTGTTAAAAAATGTAAAGGTTAATGTTTCTTTCTGTACCATTAGTTATTTAGTTACATTTTATATTAATTAGATAAAAAATAAATAAACCAAACCACAGATATATATATTATATATATATATATATATATTTTTTAATAGATTTTTTAAATGTTAAAAATGTGCAAACATTTAAAGAACAAGAACAAGGCATAGTTTTGTGTATTAATATAATACTTTAGAAACTGATAAACTTTTGTTTAAAACTAAATTATCAATTAAATGACATTTTGTAACAAAAAACTTTACCTTAGTGTCAACTAGCGACATCTGCTGAGCTTAAGATTAATAGCCCTCATTGCTTAATGCTGCTGTGTTGTTATGTATAGTACGGGTGGAGAACCGGAGACCCTTTTTACTGGAAACGAGACATTCCATCTTAGTCCTTACGGGTGACAACGCATCTGCATTTTGATTCGAAATCTAGGATAGATGTCTATGTTCAGCAGTGGACTTGTGAAGGGCTGTAATGATGATGATGATGCTAGGATAGATGTAGATATCTATGGGCCACAGCAACCACTTACGATCGAGTGGACTGTGTGCTCGTTTGTCACCCCATCCTATATAAAAAAGCTTTAGTTGTTCATGTCCCGACTAATACGACAAGCAACACACAATATATATCACATTATATAGCAGAATAAGTTTAACTTACTTTTAAATACAAATGTTGTGTAAAAAATAATTGTTTGCAATAAATATTTTTCAATTATAAAAGTGTATGTTTTAAGTAATAATACAAAATAATAAACTCATATGGGCGTAAAAACATTATAAGGACCGCTAGCAAAACGTCCCTGACCCAAAAGTGATAATTGGCTTACACATAGGTTTTACGAACTCGGCTCTACTAATGTGCTAACACATAGCTATAGTGATAACAAGTTATAAAAATATAACAACTGCTGGATGGAGGAGTACTTCGCACTTGCTTATGAACTGAAAGCTTTCTATATTGTACGATCTAAAACGCTGTGCATTGTATTCCGCCTGTTTAATGCCATATGTCTTACGTTATGGAAGTTAAAGCATGCATGGAGAGGGACAGAACTGAATTGCAATAAACGTTTAATTTACATATTTAGATAATAAAAAATACGACCACAATTATTATGGGATCTGGTTGTAACTTATATGGAACCATTGTGGGAATATTATTTATTTCGATAAAAAAATCTTGTATTTAAAGTTCCAAAAAAGTTTCTTTAAT